TCAAGCCACTACACCCTATAGGCGGCGGAGGCGGAGAAGACCTTTCCGATTCGAATCTATGTGGATTCGTCGCGAGGAATGTGAAGAGGTGGTCAGGCAAGCTTGGGACTTGGAAGAGGGATCTGACCCCGTGGACAGGCTGGTCAACAAAACACACAGTTGCCGCACGGCCCTCATCCAATGGATTCAAAGCACATGCCAAGCCCCTCACATTGAGATTGAACGAGTGGAACGCAAAATTCAGGAACTTTCGGAGGGTGTTCAATCTGCCCAGATCAGAGAGGAGATCGTTAGCCTCAAATGCCAATTAGAAGCATTGTATGGCGACAAAGATGAATATTGGAAGCAAAGAAGTCGAATACAATGGATGCAAGAGGGGGATCGGAACACACGTTTTTTCCATGTTCGTGCATCGGCCAGAAAGAAAGTGAATAGGGTTGACAAATTAAGGGACGAGATGGGGAATTGGCAGGATCAAGACAGTCAAATCGAGGGGATTATTGGTAATTACTTTGCTCACATTTTTCAGACGACTTACCCGAATGAAGAAGAGATTGATGAGATATTGGATCGGATGCAGCCGCGGGTGACCTCAGTTGCAGCACAAGTGCTCTCCATTCCTTTCTAGGAGTCTGAGGTATAACTCACACCATACACAAAATGGCCCCATTGAAATCTCCCGGACCAGATGGGCTTCCGGTTCTATTCTTTACTCGTTTTTGGCATATTATTGATTCTAGCGTAATCGCTTGTGTTCTCGATTTCTTGAATAACAAACGACTCCCCGAGGCACTCAATTACACTTTTATTGTTCTTATCCCTAAATCTGCCTCCCCGGAAAGAATTACAGAGTATAGACCTATCAGCCTATGTAACGTGATTTACAAAATTGGTTCCAAACTCATTACTAACCGAATGAGGAAAATTCTAAATAATATCGTCTCCCCCAATCAATCAGCGTTTGTTCCCCACCGTCTTATTACTGATAATGTCCTAGTCGCCTACGAGGTGAATCATTTCATAAAAACTAGGCCGAGTAATAAAGAGTCTTTTATGGCTATTAAATTGGATATTAGCAAAGCTTACGATAGGATTGAGTGGGTATTTCTGAGAAAGGTTCTTGTTTGTTTTGGTTTTCCGCCTTCCTTCATTGATTTAATTATGTTGTGCGTTACCTCCGTCTCTTATTGTTTTTGTTCAATGGGTCTCAATTTGGAAAATTAATCCCTTCCCGGGGTCTAAGGCAGGGAGACCCTCTCTCCCCATATCTTTTTATACTATGTGCAGAGGTTCTGATTGATCTGGTGAAACAGGCTACCGATGATGGTCGGCTTCGGGGGGTGAAAATTGCACCAGCAGCCCCGATGATTTCCACCTTGTGCTTCGCGGACGATACTCTCTTATTTTGTAGAGCTGACGAGGAGGATGCGCTGATACTTCAAGGGATCTTGGAGACTTACGCCCGGGTGTCGGGGCAAGTTATAAATATGGATAAATCTACAATGAGCTTTAGCCCCAACACTTTGGAGGAGAAGAAAGATTCCATTCACCAAATTCTAGGCTTCCAGATTGTGGATCGGCACGAGAAGTACTTGGGTTTGCCTGCTTCTCTCGGAAAATCTCGGAAAGAAATCTTTCGCTTCCTACGAGATCGCCTATGGTCGCGCATTAAAGGTTGGGGCCAGCGGCCCCTTTCTCAGGCCGGTAGAGAAATTATGGTCAAAGCAGTGCTTCAGGCCATTCCGAGCTACATTATGAGTTGTTTTGCTATTCCGTCTGGTGTAATCAATGATCTCGAGGCCGTTATTCGTCGATTTTGGTGGAGCTCAAGCGACAAGAAGAAGACGGCGTGGATCTCGTGGGACCAACTTTGCAAGCCGAAAAACAAAGGTGGTATGGGTTTCAGAGATCTTAAAACATTTAACTTAGCTATTCTCGCTAAACAGGTTTGGAAACTTCTTACGCAACCAGAATCTCTCTTTGCTAGCATTATGAAAGCTCGGTACTTTCCTACTGGGAACGTTATGACAGCAGAGCTTGGCTATCGACCTTCGGCTACGTGGCGAAGTCTTCTCAAAGCTCGGCCCATGTTTGCACTGGGCATACGTCGAAGAATTGGGAATGGCAACTCCACAGCAATATGGGGAGACCCTTGGATACCCGATTGTTCTAACTTTAGAATCCTCTCTACGCGGCCACGGGATACGGCTTTTCCGGATAGAGTGGCGGACTTAATTGACTCCACTTCTCGATCCTGGAACCTACCGCTTGTGAATAACACGTTTTGGCCAATTGATCGAAATCGAATTCTTAGTATTCCAATCGGCAGCGGAACATCGATCGATAGATGGGTTTGGCACCACTCTAAGGATGGGAAGTTCACAGTTCGTTCGTGTTACCAGGCGGCGACCGCTCTTCAGACCGTGTGTAAAGGAAACGGGCAGAATATGGGCTCAACTAGTGGCGATCCTCATCAAGAGTGGAATTTCATTTGGCGTCTCCAACTACCACCTAAGATCCGTAACTTCGTTTGGAGAGCATGTTCGGAATCACTCCCTACAGGTGTGGAACTCTTTCGACGAAAAATGGTCTCGTCACCTATGTGTTTCCGTTGCGGAGTCACAGAAGAATCGTTCACACATGCAATCTCTTGTGGGGGGCTGAACGATATATGGGCAGCCCCTCCATTCTCACTTGTTCCGTTTGATCGACGAATGTCCTCTTGGTCTTGGCTTTCATCGCTCCGCAATACCCTTTCAATAGAAGAATTCACATTGGCTATGGTAGTGGCTTGGAAAAGTTGGGGTTTGAGAAATTGTTTGCTGCATGGTGGGAATGTAATCACAGATGGTGTCTCCATTGATTGGTGTGCAGCTTTCCTGGCCAATTATCAACAGCACATGGCGCGAAGAACCATATCATCCAGACCCCGGTTTTCTTCGGAGTGGGCTGCACCAGACCCTGGGTGTATCAAAATTAATACCGACGCAGCTCTCCCTCCAGGTTTGTCGTTCCATACAGTTTCATTAGTGGCTAGAGATCACAACGGCTCATGTTTCGCGTGGGCTGTCAAAAAAATTCCAGGCGTTCCATCACCGAAGGAGTGCGAAGCTCGAGCAATCTTAGAGGCAATGAAATTTGCGGTAGACAAGGGATGGTCGGCGGTTATATTTGAAGGTGATTGCTTGGAAGTTATCAACGCTCTCAAGCTCGGCGAGGTGTCAAATGCTTCTTACGGTGCTTATCTCGACGAGTGCTTCAATATTTTAAATTCTTTTTCGAGTTGCACTTTCTCATTTATTAGACGTAAGGGCAATGTTTTGGCCCACTTGCTTGCCACGAAATATCTCTCTTTTGGTTCGGAAGGCGTTTTGCTTCCTAACATTTTGGCGACCCACGTATAATAAATTCCCGTTTTCCATCAAAAAAAAGAATGTGAATTAAATACTTTAAATAAAAAATAATTTAAATATTGAATTTCATACTAATTTTGTGATCGATGACTTTAAGTGGTTGTTTTTTCGCATAAATTCTAGCAGATTAAGTTCAATAACAAAATTATGGAGGCTGGCAATCGAGTATTGCCATCATACGGCGAAGGCCGTATAAAAATTTGAAATATGATACTTCCTCCTTATCATCTTACTTGTCTTTCTTCAGATTTTTTTTTTTTAATTTCAAAATAATTGTCACTTTGGACTTCCAATGAAGCATTTATTGTATTTTTCTCATATTTGCCCTTACTAGTACTAATTAATAAAATTAGGTGAAACAATTAAAAAAAAAAAAAATTAATAAAAATGAATTTTTATTTGATTTATTATAATTTTTCTATAATCCATGCACATTTATTAGTTTTTTTAATACGTGTGTTTCTGTTCAAATTGACAAATAAAATAGGAAAAAAGAAATATCAGATAAGAAAATCTTATACAAATAAAAATTTGAAGACCAAGCCCTACCCCCAAAGTCGTATGACCACAAATAGAAATTCCATAAATAGTAGCAGAGCCCATCTATCTAGTATGTCATCTCTTTTAATTGTGTGCTTCAATTTTCATAATATATTTAAATTTATTTTAATTTCTTCAACTAAATATGTTAAAAACTCCTATTGTTTATTTTTATTTTAATAGTGAAGACACATAATGTAAACATAAATGTTAAATGTCGTTTTAACTTTACGAATACCGTTTTCCCTTAAAACATGTTTTTGACTTTTTTCTAATCTAGTTTTAAGCAAAATTCAAAAACACATGAACCGTAGTTCTTTGAGTTAACTTTCTAATCCAATTTCAATACGCTAAATTAGATGTCGGACGACAAAGTAACGTATAAATCAGTTACATTTTGAATTTTAAATAACTAAAACCATCAAAGTTGTTGGCAATGTTCATTAATTCACGCACATCTTCCTTACCTGACATCCAATCACGGCGATTCAACTTGGATTACAAAGGTTATGTTTGTTAAGCTTTTCAAATTCTTTCCACACTTTTCCCAAAATGAAAATTATCTTTCTACACTATTTTCAAAAACTTTCCCCAAAACAAATTCAAATATTTCTCTCTCTAACAAACATGATTTGACCGCTACAGTGAAAATTGTCTTCACTAAAATACAAAATCAAATCACTTTATCTTATAAATTCTTCTTCCAAAATACCTTTTTTCAACACCTTTCAGACATGATTTGACTTGCTACAGTACAAATTGTCTCCTCCCAAAACACAAACAAACTTTATTTAATTTTCAAATTCTTCTCCCAAAACATCTTTCCCCAAAATAAAATGGAAATGGAAGCCCAAAAGCTTACCAAACACAGCCAAAGATACTTTAAAGAACTACGAAATACATGTTTTGAGTTCTACCCATTATCGAGTCGAAACGATAAAATTAAAACTGAAACGACATTTATCGCATCCCTAATTTAAAATTGTAAAAACAATATATATATTTTGTATAATGAATCCTACAATTGTTATATTTTGCATCCAGGTAGGACTACACCCTAGTAGAAAAAGGCAAAACCTATTTACCAAATTATCAGCAAAATAATAAATAAATAAATAATTTCCTGAAGCTGAAAATTAAATTTGTGCTTTCTTTCTTTCGTTAATGGAGTTTACCCAATTGGTGTTAGGGCAAAAAGCTGTGATTGCATGGCTCTGCCATAAATACGCAAACAATTTATGCCCAATTAACCAATCCAAAATACAGTGCGTACAGTAGCTGGTTTCACCAACCTCCTGCAAATTTTTTCCCTTTTTTGCTCGCACGTCAGTATATACATACTGCACGCTCGCTCACACACAAGCAGTGTGTGTCTTGTGTGTGAGAGAGAAACCTAAAAAAATTGAGGTTGGATTTTTGGGTTTTTGCTCCTTCGAATTTTTTTGTTTTTCTCTTTGATTTGGTCGGCTGCCATGGATGCTTACCCACCGCTTCCAGCAGACTACGTTTCGTTCGCCCAACTCCAAGAGCGGTGGATCCAGAAACAAGAACAGGAGAAGCTGAAATCCAAGCAGGAAGATGAAAAACAGAAGAGAGAAGCTGAAGAAATCCAGAGCGAGATCCGAAATCGGAGCGGATCGAAAAACAACGGGCACGGAAAACCGTGGGGTGCGTCTCCGGGAAACGCGCCGCCGCGAGTGGTCGGAAAAGACGGCCGGGTGATGGGCGGCGCGATTCAAGCGAAGGGAAAGGGGAAAGAGGCTGCAATCGGCGGTTCTGAAAATGGAGACGGAAGTAATTTGAGGAAGAAGAAGAATAAGAGAAAGAATGGACGCTACGAGAAGAAGAATAAATCTGATGAAATCGAAAAGGAAAAATCGAAGAGTGATGAGGTGGAAGGGGTCAAGGAAATTATTGCGAATGTGTCGATTTTGCCGAAAGATGCAGTGATGAGTGAGGTGAAAGGGATCGAAAGATTGGATACCGGGGGTGGGGTTACGCGAAACGGGCGTAGCCATAATCGGGTTCGCTCCGGTTATAAGAGCAACGTGTCGATTTTGCCAAATGATGCAGTGAGGAGTGAGGTGAACGGGGTCGAGGAAACTGCGAACGTGTCGATTTTGCCGAAAGATGCAGTGAGGAGTGAGATTCGGGGTTCGGAAAGATTGGATATCGGAGGAGGGGTTAGGCGAAACGGGCATAGCAATAATCGGGTTCGCTCCGGTTATAAGAGCAACGTGTCGATTTTGCCGAAAGATTCAGTGAGGAGTGAGGTGAAAGGGGTCGAGGAAATTGCAAACGTGTCGATTTTGCCTAAAGATGAAGTGATGAGTGAGATTCAAGATTTGGAAGGATTGGATATCGGACGAGGGGTTAGGCGAAACGGGCATAGCAATAATTGGGATCGTTCGGGTAATAAGAGCAGAACCGAGTACAGAGTTAGGGTTAATGGGACTGAAATGAAATCGGTTTTTGAAGAGAAGGAGAGTAAACCTAATGTGGAGGGGGAGTCGATTAGTGATGTTAGGGAAAATGGCGAAAAGGGTATTAAATATCACAGAAATCGGAAGTCGAAAGAGAACATTAACCGAGAAATTGGTCGATATGGGGATCGTTGGAAACCGAAACCGAGAGAGGGTGGTGTTATGATGTGGGTGAAGAAAGAAGATAAACCGGCTGCTTAAGGTGGCTTGTTCGGCAAGTAAGCATCTGATTATTTTCCTTTTTTACGTAGTGGCGAATAATATTTGGAGTTTGATTTCGGTTTTATCAAATGCTATTTCAATATTTTGTCGATGCTTGGTATTGAATCTTTCGTATGTTTAAAATGAGTATTAATTCAATAGATTGATTGTAGAAAGATTGCAATCAAGAAAATGGGATATAAAGTAGAACCTCGATTAAAGAATAGTTTCTCCCGGTCCCGACTTGGTGAAAACGTGTTAAAATCATTAACTCGATAATTTAATAATTTGCTAAATTAATAGAATTTCCCTGATCCCGACTGTATTAATTTATAGAGGTTTAACTGTACGAGAGAGTTTGTATTTTTATATCGAGTTGTGGGAACTTGTTACTAGGTTGAACGAAACAACTCGATTTGTTGAAGGTAGAAATTATGTGAATTACTACGAAAAAACTCGCAATCGATTAGTTGAACTTGAGCATTTATTGTCGAATATCTTGTTGCGTATCTAATTTACTAAAAATGAAGAATTACAAACTATAATTGCTGGCGACGGAGAAAAATTGATGTTTATTTAGTTATTACAGGGAAAGTTAGTTGATGCTGCCAATGGCTATTTCTCGATCCTATTCGTATATTTTTGTCTGAATTTTCAAAATAAATGGACATAGCTTGATGAATATATTGGTTTATAACCTATTCCGTTTAGACGTAATAACAAACAATCAACGATGTCTTGAGCGTTTCTTTTTTATTTATTTTTTTGAAAAAAAGGAATCGTTTATAATTTCATCTGTCTATTTTCAGGAATTTCGGTAGATCGACAGAGCAATGAAATCCACAGCACCAACTGCCCGTTTTTTGTCCCGTACGGTAATTGATGATGTATAACATTGAAAAAAATTGCTTTTTTTTTTTTTTTTTTTTTTTTTTTTTTTTTTTTTACTTTGAGAATATACTTCTAAATTTGAAATTAAATGGCAGAAATGTACGTTCGGGGTTATTGCCATGTTTTCTCTGCTCGGGCTATTTATGATTTTTATTAGTATTTTCGATAGATTGAATACTTGAAGTTGAAATGACGGAAGACGAATTAATCAATTGCATGATACTTATTTCGATGATATACTTAAATTGTCAATTGATCAGATTACATTAATTAATCTATGCTATACTCGATGAAGTTCACCGAGTAATATTCAATGATATACGTGTATATATGTATATGCTCTACATCTTCATAATGTATATGCGTGTGATTGTGCGTAAATCTATGGTGAGAGTAAGATGGTTCATCGAGTAAATATTTTTACAGAGTAGCTTCTTGATTCTCCAGAAAGAAAAAGGTTCCGATTTTCCATTGGAAATGCTGATGTTATGAAATCAAGTATAGTTACACGGTGGAATATTGTTTAATATGTATACGTACGGAACATATACATGTTTACGACTACATATATAGGATAAGAAATCTAGAAACCGTTGATAGACACTAGGTTTATTCGAACCTATATCTGGTGAACTTCATTAATTATAACTTTATCATACACGTATATTGTAAATTATGTGCTTTTGTACACACCCGCGACCCATATGTATATATGTGTGTAATTGTATGTAATGTAAAATTATATAGTGTATTTCAGCAGATGTAGAATTTATAAAATCATAGATCCTAATACAGTAATACTAACATTTTTGAGAAATGTTACAACCACGCAAACATACATATGAGAGGGTTTATACTATACTACATCGGGCAGATATTTACTATTCATATACCCAGAAACACACATACATACCATATTGGTGTGTGTAGATCAGCGATAAAAAATCACTCGATAACCTTCACTGCATGTAGCATATAAATAACCTTGATATGGACAATGTTGGATTGAGTTTTTTGATTCATGTACTACAGAACCTTGTAATTGCGGCCTTATTTTGAAATCCTAATAATTTGTGCCTTTTTTTTCTGTAAAAAATACAATTGTTTCTCTTGAATTTTTTTTTCTTTTTTTTTTTTTTTTTTTTTTTTTTTTTTTGCTGTACTCGAACCTTACATTCTCAAACCTCATATGTGCAACTTTTTAAAATAAGCCAAAATGGTATGATTATTATGATCCAAGTTTTACGTTTCAAATCATATTCCTCTCTGCAAATGCAACAAACTACTAGGGGTGTTCACTCGACCAATAAACCGATTGAATCGAACCAATCTAAAATTCCATACGTGCTAAATACTGAATCGAAAATTCCGTAAGCATATTTAGAATTTCGGTATTCGGTACGGCATATGGTATTGATGCTCGGTATACCGTACGAATACCGAAATATTTAACAATATTTTATTTTTATTTTTCATTTTTAAATTCGTTAAGGTTATAACAAATTATAAAATACTTTAAGATTGATGAATTTTTCCGTTATTTACGAATTAGCCTCTATTGATAATCGCATTTTATTTTTGGACCGTTTATTGAAATTTGAATGTGAAGTTAAAGAATTAATTACTGCAAGTACATTTTTCTTACATTTTTTAAGATATTAAAATATATTTTCGGTTTCACGTACCAAAACGAAAAAACATAATTAATTCGGTGAAAAACGTAGCGAACCGAATAGTTTGATTCAGTATACGGTACAAAATTTTCAAAGTACCGAAATTCCAGTACGATATTACTGAATGTACACCCCTACAAACTATTCTAGATTTGAACAAATACATCGATAAAAAGTGGTATGTTTGATTAATTCCGGTTCATAATAGTATCTTTTTAGGCATAACAAAAAAAACAATATATATATATATATATATATATATATATATGAGAGAGAGAGAGAGAGAGAGAGAGAGAGAGAGAGAGAGAGAGAGAGAGAGAGAGAGAGAGAGAGAGAGGTGTTCTCGTATTTGTATGGATGCAAATTGGCTGCCAGTCTGAGAATGATATATAGCCCCCTTGTGTGTGTGTGCATGTGTTTTTGTTAGGTCCTCTCATACGTTTCTTTTTTTAGATTCAATTTGCATTATTGCATTATATATTGACATCTATTGCTATTTATTTTTTGAGGCAATTATCAATTAGATATTAATGTTCCAAACTTTCAATATAAAATGTTCATATTGGAATCTACATATGAACACTAATTATGTTACTTTGATTTGCTTCTCTTGCAAAAATTGTAAGTAATGAATATCATTTTGCTAGTAGGTATTTTTTGGGTTGTATCTTGAATTTTTTGTTAATATCAAATTATATTGGTATATTTGATTGTATAGTCTACTCTATGCTACATTAATCAGTGAACTTTACTGTTATTTTCCATCTTTAATTTTCACATAATCACACATATATACATGTGTATAGATGTAAAATATGGTATACACGTGTATGGTAGAATATAATCTGATTAAATTCTTCAGAGTGTAGGACAAGGTTTCATTGGAGTATTCATCCATATAGAACGATTTTGATTTGAGTAAAGAATTTGGAAGACTAACAACTTCGAATGACTCTATAAAGTGGATATCAAGTCGTATATATTGCAATGACTAGCCCAAAATAGCTAAAATTGAGTCACAAATTTGAAATCGATTGTAAGATGAATCCATCGAAACAAACGCATCGGATTTATTATTATGAATTTAAAATTCACAACTTTAAATCTTTTATTTCAAATGAAGCGTATGATCATCGTCGGACGCATAAATGCGTGCGTCGGTTGACACATACGTTGAGTTGTTATAGCCTCGAATATTTTTAAATTTCTAGCCAAATTCAATAAAAAAAGGACCACCTAAGATCCTAAATGTCATGTAACCATCTATACACTCATAAGGGTGTGGGCACAAAAGTTTACATAATTGGTTGTAATAACTAGCTAGAATGGAAAGGATATATATATATATACACACACATATATATGAGATCTTTTGTCAATTGTAATTATTATAATAATGCAAAGAGGAAGGTATCTTTCATGCATAATTGTGAGAGAGAGAGACATGCATTTAGTTTTAATTGATGCAGATATATATATATATATATATATATATATATATATATATATATATATATATATATATATATTCAACAAAGAAAGAGATGTTAAGAATGTTTTCTTGTGAGAGGAGACTAATTCAAGATTTCAAACATTTCTAAAAGCTTTTTATTTATTTCATTTATTTATTTATTTATTTTTATTTATTATGGTACTTTGACCACCTTTATATTTGGAAGTGACCATATGGGAAGCCAAGATATTTTGCCAAAAAAAATAAAAAAATAAAATAAAAACCACATCACATACTAGTGTGGATTATATTAGCTGCAAAATTATTCATTATTCATTATTTTCCCCTAATTCTAACATTGAAATGTCACATGCTATAGGGATATATACATATATATTATCATATCATGGTCACAATTTTGAGGTAAAATCGAAGGAATAAATCGATACAAATGATGCCGTTTTGCATGTTTTCAGACAACCTTAATAGGGCTAACTAACTGGTTAATTAATTAACCTCATGCTAAATGAGGACAAAGAAAAAAAAGGGTAAGCTAAAACAAAAAGATTTTAGCAAGAAAATGGAAAATATTTACAAATAAATCCAATCTAATCAAGAATGTATTTCAAGTGGTTATAGTTAGAAATTTAATGAGGGTACAAAAATGGAGATTTGCTAATTAGTCCAAGGGGATGCATGTGCATCGTGCAAGCGTGAAAACAAGCTCCGATATATTCGGGACCAGCTGACTCGGAATAAAAAGATTTTATTTTAAATTTTTAATTTTTACAGCAGACAAAAAATCATCTAACGAAGAATAGATTGTTACGTGGGCACGTTGTATTATTTAAATCAGGCATTAAGCAAACGTAAGAATAGATCTTTAGCCAGATCTCGATTGACGATTCTTCGTAGGTTAATCAGCTAGCTGTAAAGCAGTACTTTGGACCTTTCATAAGATCATGATTGCTCTAAATGAAGAAAAATCGAATCCCGAAATCTGGACGACGATATTAATTCACTTATTACTATCCAATTATACAACTTTGTTGCTAATTTGAAAGAATTATATGCCTAACAAAGATTTACATTTCTGGAATAAGATAGCTAGTAATTATTCATCAATATATATATATATATATATATATATATATATATATATATATATATATATATCATTGTCAAGTAGTACTAGTGTGTATCTATCATCACTTATCTGTACATGTTAGCAGAAGCACATGAGATGGGCCTAATATAAAATGTACCATTCTTTTACTCACAATGGGCCAATTTATATATAATCCTGCATTCAAGAAAATATCAGAAAATTAAATGCCATGCAAGTAATTTTGTGTCTGTAAATAAAAAAACGAAACAAGAAACGAAACACGTTAAAACTAAACGAAAATATTTCGTTGAACCCACTGCAATCGATTAATTAGAATACATCTATTCAATTAGCCTATTAGGTATTAATTGATTTATGGATTATTAAGTAATTAATTAGTTAATTTTGGTGCGACATTGAATGGCTACGGAGGAATCACGTTCCGTTGTTTGTTATTTCCCGATTTCGGCTCGCTGTCATCGCAATACGTATCGTATTATACATACATGCATGTGAAGCAATGATCTAATCCAACTACTATATATATCAGCAAATATGCATATGATTTTCCTTTTTCTGCTTCACTCAAAAATGGCATTGTGCACCACATTCTAGTGCAATACAATGTACCTTACATGCATGGGTCATTTTCTTTCATGCCTACTATTTCTCAATACTTCAATATCGTCCAATATATATATATATATATATATATATATATATATATATATATGGTAAATTATACAAATTACGAGAAAAATTCTCCTGTTTGGATAATTACATCGACCCCTTAACTATGAATCTTCTTATATCTCCATCTTTATGGTGTCAAATTTAACATAATGATCTAGATTTCGTGGAATGTTCTCTAGTTTGTACTCGTCTTGTGCAAAAATACAATTTCTGATGTACCACAAGATGATAGATACAAGCCTAAAAAACACATCTTATGATCATCTAGCTTCAAATGTGGAGCTCGAATGGGATAAAACGGGTCCAAAATTGAGAATATTTCATATAATCTAGAAGATTCCACTAAATTTGAAATCGCAAGGGTGGACGTGTAAGAAGATTCTATAGTTGATGGGTAATTGTAACTACCGAAACAGGAGAAGGGTTTTCGTAATTTGACTTTGTAATTTGGTAATTTTTTCTGGATTTTTAACTATAATTTTTTTTAAACTCTTAAGAGATAAAGAAATTAGTAGCTATTCCATATTCACTATGTGTTACCACAATCAACTCTCTCTCTCTCTCTCTCTCTCTCTCTCTCTCTCTCTCTCTCTCTCTCTCTCACACACACACACACACACAAAGGTGACCAGCACAACAGCTGTCAAGTTTGGTTTTTGTGGAAAGAGAAGTATAATGATATTAAGGCAAGAGGATTAAGCCAAGGAAATATATAGTCTAGGATTTGACGTCGATCATTATTTGTCACACACACAC